AATTTTTGCAACATTGAATTTCTTTGTTTTTAATTTTAGTCGGAGGTGCCCCGGGTTTAGCTGGTTTGGGGGCCTGAAAATGGGAAAAAGAGACTTTCAAGGTGTCGGGTTCCACCAAATTTAAATTTTTGGGAAAAGGGTCACCATTTTATTTTAAAAATGTTCCCCCAAGGAATTTTGGAAAATCCATTTTTTAAATTGGTAATGTTTTTCCATCCTGTAAAATGATCAGTTTTTTTTGTGCACATAAACTACCAAGCACTGAGAAAAAAAGTCAAAGAAATTCCCGTCCCTCCCCTCAGCTCTTGTTCGGGGGCCTTTGAATAGTTGCTGAATTTTGTTTGATTTTTGTTTCCCTGATTCCTTAAAGGGGGGGATTTCTTTCATTACGTTAAATTTTCGGGTTTTAGATAAAAATACCATGCCAGTTAAAAAGGGATCTTTACTTAAAAACTACAAGGTGATAAAAAAAAGGGGTCCCTGCCCCCAATTTAAAGGGGCCGCGGGAATATTATTATTTTAAACCATGCCCCCTTCCCCAAAAAATTGTGCAGGAAAAGGGTATACATTAATGAGAAGAAAACACGAAATTTAAACTAATAAATTATGCAGATCCCTTTATTGGGGCAGGTTTCTTTAATTGTGGGGGCTTGAGCCCGGGGTTAAAAAAAGGGGCCTATTTGAAATGACAGCCCTGGGTTTTCATTTCAAAAAATAACTGTTAAATTACATTGCACGGGGCTTTGTAAAAGGGATGAAAAGTGTGGGAAGGGGTTAAAATGAGAAATATTTATCAGAAAGGGGAAATTATCTTTTTAAAAAATACATTTTTGGTGGAAAAGAATAGCCCTAATTCAAAATTTTTACAAGCATTGAAAATCTGTAGAAGCAAGGGGGTGCATTTAAAGGGCCAAAAGTCCTGACTTACAAAAAATCCCTCGCCCTGAGGGTTTGTGCAAATTTAAATGGGATCATATTGCTTCTACAGATTATAAAAAACATGAAAAAAAATGCATTTAAACCCCCTTTGTAAAGATTATGGGTGATTTGCTTTTGAACAATGCAAGAAAAATTTTGGTAAATTATGAAACAAGGGGAGACTTGGAAATGGTTTTCAAATTTCACTTATGCAAAAAAAAAGTAAAAATTTCAAAAATTAGACCACCTGCCGCAAAATGAAAATGGGTATAAAAAGGATACAGTTTTAGTTACCTTTGAACACATGGCTAAATTAGCCGGCTTTAAAAAAAACCAGTTGTCAATTTGGGTTCCAAAATTTTTTTAAAATATAAATATGGTTTAAAACCCGGGCCCCTTAGTGTTAAATTTTTTATTTTTAACAGCTGACCAATTATAACAAAGATTGATTTTAAAGAAAACTTTTTTCATGTACAGGGTTTATAAAGAGATGCTAACGGGACCAAGATGGAGAACAATAAAAGGGATACACTTGGTTTCCCCTTAAATTTAAATATGCTTGTATCATAATAAATAACCTTTTTCCCAAAATGGATAATGGTTTAAAAAGCATACCCACGGATGCACAAAACCCGTCCAAACCTGCACCCCCAAAGCCCGGGGCTGATCAGTATCTCCACTGTTCACTTTTTCAGGGGTCAGAAATTCTTTTATAAATTTAAAAATGAACAGTGGAATTTCTGAATCAGACTGGGATGGGGTGCAGGTGAACTTGGTGCACATGTGTTTGGGAAAAACATGTCAAAAGTGGGGAAAAAGATAAGGGGGCATTGAAAAATGGGAAATTTTGGTTTCCCGCATTGAATTTGGAAAGGGAGAAACGAAATAGAATAAACAAGAAATAATGATGTTTTCCCTTTTGTTTATTTAGTAAAGGGGATAGAAAACCATGTTTGTTATGTGGGCGGGTAAAAAAAAAAAAAAAAACCCAAATTTTTAAGGGGGCATTTTATTTTATTACATTGAATGAATACAAAGAGATTGAATTTGCATTCAAGTTTTTATGGGGAAAAAAAGAAAAAACATATTTGGGTTTTTTTTTTACATATAAAATTTTCTTCTCTATTAAAATAAGCAACTGGGGAAAAATATTTGAAAATATTAACCTCAGTTAAAAACAAAAAAATGTAAAATAAATTAACTTTTGTGGACGGGAAAAACCTCTTTTTTGTACAAAAATTTTTAATTTTTAAAAAAGGAAAATTAAAAAAGGTTATTTTTTAAAGGGAAATCCTGCTTTTTGGCAGATACAGGCAGGAAAAATTAAATATGGGAAAGGGTGGGGAAAAAGGGGGGCACTAAAGTTTGTAAAATTGAAAAGCTCTCCCTTTGGGAATTTAATGACTGTAAAAACGCACCTTTAAAAAAATAAACCTTACCCCATGTATTAGGGGAAAACAATTTTTCCCGTTTCTTATTTCATCAAAAAAATTTTTATTTTTGGGTCAGGATTAAATTTGGGTTTAAAATCGGGGATTTGTCCGGGAGTAAAAATGATAGTTTGGGAAACAAAAAAAACGCCTCCCAAACCTAAACAAGGACAATGGGTTTCATTTTGGAGAAATGGTCAGGAGATATAAAATGAACAGTCTTGGTGAATTTGGCGGGAATTTTCCCGGGAGGTAAAAAATTCACAAATTTTCTTTTTGAGAATTTTCAAACTGCCTTGTGAAAATGCTAAATTTCTTTTTTTGGGAAAATGTATTACATTCAGGGAACAGGTAATTTATAAATCCATTTGGGAAAGTTGACAGTTTCTCCCCTTAATTTTTTTGGGGCTTGAACTTAAATCAAGGGGTTTTCCCCAGGCAAATGTTCTTTCAAAATTTTTTTCCATGTGGCTTTCTATCCAGCTAGTTTTACGTGACATCAGGGGGTTTCCCATTGGGGGGCTCGTTTGGGGCCTGAAATAATGCACGGGGGGATCCATGAGGTCTTCCTCCAACAGTGGGGGCTGGAAATTTGGCCCCAAATGATTATCTGTTTTTGGGTGCAAATGTAAAACCCTTTCCAAAAGAAAATAAATTTTTGAGAAATTAGCTCTCAAGTTTTCCAAAGTGCCCAGAGAAAGACAAGGGTTTTACCCCCAACTTTTATCCAAGGGGTCTGATCCGGGTCGGGCACTGTTTTTTTTTCTCATAAAAAAAAGGTGCTTTATTTCAAAATTTTTCCCTAAAAGATCAACCGAGTTTTGCCCAAAAATTTTTAAGGGTGTTTTTGGGGTTGGGTTTAAACCAACATATGGGGTATTTATGTACATGAAATATTGGCCCTTCATAAACATAAATATTTTTTATTTGGTGCTTCATATGGTTAAGTTGAAGGAGTTATTCATTAGGTATATGTACCAACAGACTGTAATTCATCAAAAGTTATTATCCAATGTGGCTTGAGAGATTTTTCTGCTTGCTGGTCTCAATTCACTTTCATACTATTGTAACCAATGTTGAGTAGAATCAAATACTGAACGCTTCACACTTACCTCAATAGGGAAAGCCATGGATTTGTAATTTATAGGTCCCTGGTTCAATTCCTTGGGGGCAGCATAATAAATTTCAAAAAGAATGTGTGGAAAGATTTGGTTTTAAAATGTTAGGGAAGGTCAATACATTTAACCTAAAACAAATATATAACCAGGGACTACTTTTTGGGTGGTGGGAAAAAAACTATGAAAAAATGTTTTTACTTCACTCTATTTGATCTGAAAAGCGAAATTCTAGTCCCCCAAATATCTTTATGAAAGAGTGACTTCTCCTTGAATTTTCAGTCCAAGGTTACCCTTCAGTCCAAGGTAGTCCCCGATTACTTTTGAAAATTATTCTAAAAAAGGATGATTGAAAAATTTGTGCTTACTAGCACAGTGTTGAAATTTAACTTCCTCATTAACTTGTTAACGATTACTGTCACATTTGTGTTTTTGTTATATATTTCTGCAACATTTTTTGATGATTTTTATTTACAGCAATAGCTGTTAGTAAAGTAGATGATGTGAGACCAGTTCTCCAGTATTACAGCCAGTTTGATAATCCATTAGAAAAGTTCCATGAAAACCAGGCTAAACTCAAGGTAAGTGGTGCTATAGATTTCTTACAAGATTACCGAAATAAACAAATAGTGCGGAGATGTCAGTAATATGAACAGTTACGTCTGTTATGGGAAAAGAAATGTCTGTCTTGGGGAAAGTTATGGGGGAAAAAAGTAATGTCTGTTATGGAGGTAATGTCTGTTATAGGAAAAATTATGCCGGTTATAGAAACAGAAATGTCTGTTATAGGAATAGTAATGTCTCTTACAGTAATGTCTTTACAGGATAAGTAATGTCTGTTATATGAACATTGAAGTCTTTTATTTCAACATGGTTATTATGGATATTATATAAATGGTATCTGTTATATGAAAAGTGAGGTCTGTAATATGAACAGACATGTCAATTTTAGAACTATGGGTATCAATTATATGAACAATGATATTCATTAAGAACTGGGATGTACCCCCACCCCCAGCTCTTGCTTATTTCCCCCATCAGTATAGTTAGTTGTACAATGTGATGTTTGTAGTTTTGTTAATGCATCCACAATTGCTGTGTCTAATATGCGCTAGTATAGAAGATGCAATACTTGTCCATTATCTGCTGGGTTCAAATAGTATTAGTGATGCTAAAATCTCTCTTTTGGACAAGAAGTCATCCCTTTGGGTTACTAGAGGTATAGTTATCTTCTGAATTGAAAGAGGACACAGTGGACTTCCTCTTCCGTGACAGCGCAACAAAGGCCATATAATTGATGAAGTCTACATCATTTAGCTTAAGTAGAAAGGTAGCAAGCTGTATCATCAGTATGTATGGAGGGACTACCTTTACATTCATTTAAAATGAATGTAAAGAGCAGCACCTATGCTATTTCATACCAGAAGTACAAGTATCACATTTGTTGATTGTTCTTGTTCATTTAGCATAAGTTTCATCATCATGAATTAAACTTGGAACTATTTTTATATTCAGGCGGAGCAAGAAAAACAAGCCCAATTACAACAGTCACGTGATGCAAAAAGTGTGACCGGATTGTGGAACAAGTTGAAGAGATGAAATATTTCACTAAATATGGCAGACGATTTGAGTGTCGGAATAAAACATTTAAATGTTGTTATAAACATTATAAATGACAATTTCATTTTGTGATGCACTGGAAAACAGTCAACATAAAGAAGCTCTTGAGAAATAGAAAATAGGTTATTTCGTGCAGGCAGTGATTATTTACTAGATCTATTTATAGACATATACTGTATAAGCTTGCCTAGAGGACAGTTTCTTTTTTTTTTTTTAAAATTACGTTTTTTCTAAATAAAATTTAAATTTAACAATAAAATCAAATTAAATATATGGTAAGGTATGGTTAGCACTACATTCAGCACTAAACTTATCACTTTAATCAGTTCCTGTGATCTGCCAAGATGAGAAGTACATTTTGTACATGTATGTGGTATGTGTATATTTTTGACAAACAACAAGAAAATCTTGAGGTGTTTGTTTATCCTATGTTTATATTATGAAAAATATAAAGTAATAGACAACACTGTCTGATAGCACTATGAATTATGTGATAAAGTTTGACTGGTTGAAAATATATCAATGTATTTTCTAAGCTACCTGAGCAAATAAGTTTTCACTTTGCCTTCGTGTTCCATTCAGATTTCCCTTAGTAACTTCATTTAGACTGACATCTCCCATATTTGATAGGTATATACTTGTATGGTCCTCTAACTTATGGTGAAGTTTGGATTACTAGTGTCAAGATCATTTGTGTTAAAAATAGATCCTTACACTTGCTCATACAGCCTATATTTATTAAACAATGTCTTATATTTCACAAGAGCATATTTAAGATGGACTCTTATCTTTGGTGCAAAATTTTGGTCAAGGGCAAGGTCAGTGAAACTAAAAACAAAACTTCTAGAAACAGAACTAACTATTCCTATGTATTTAGCATTGAAATAACAAAGATGCAGGTTTGGGGAGCATTTATCATTTTTTGCAATACATCTTGTTTTGCTTTAGAAAAAAAAAAATCTGACAAAACATGTGCCGACTTCTAGTATATGCACTCATGATTTTGCATTTTTCATGAACAGTTTGTTTGAAATTAGATACTAAAGTTATAGATATGAGGATTTTGTAATAACTCAAAATTTTATCAAAACATGGGCAATTTATCCTAACTCTTGACCTGCCGAAAATGACATTTGTTAACCTACATCATCTGTATTTATGTCTCTGTCTATATTGCCGCCTTTGCTAGGCAAGCAAGCTCTATACTGCTTGTAACTTTTTAGCTCACCTGTCACAAAGTGACAGGGTGAGCTTTTGTGATCGCTTTTCGTCCGTCCGTCCGTTGTACGTCCGTCCGTAAACTTTTGCTTTAAATGACATCTCCTCATAAACCACTAAGCCAATTTCATCCAAACTTCTTAGGAATGTTCCTTTGGTGGTCACGTTTAAAAATTGTTCAAAGAATTTAATTCCATGCAGAACTCTGGTTGCCATGGCAACCGAAAGAAAAAACTTAAAATATCTTCTTTTAAAAAATCAAAAGAGCTAGAGCTTAGATATTTGACATGAAACATCTTCTAGTGAGTGTCTACCAAGTTTGTTCAAATAAAAGTCCTGGGGTCAAAATTGGCCCCGCCCCAAGGGGTCATTGATTTTCCCTATATGCATATAGTAAAAACCTTAAAAAATCTTCTTTTAAAGAACCCAAAGAGCTAGAGCTAAGATATTAAGCATGAAACATTTTCTAATAAGTGTCTACCAAGTTTGTTCAAATAAAAGCCCTGGGATCAAAATTGGCCCCGCCCCAGGGGGTCATTGATTTTCCCTATATGCATATAGTAAAAACTTAAAAAATCTTCTTTTAAAGAACTCAAAGAGCTAGAGCTAAGATATTTAGCATGAAACATGTTCTAATGGGTGTCTACCAAGTTTGTTCAAATAAAAGCCCTGGGGTCAAAATTGGCCCCGCCCCGGGGGTCATTGATTTTCCTTATATGTGTATAGCAAAAACTTAAAAATCTTCTTTGAAAAAACCCAAATAGCTAGAGTTTAGATATTAAGCATGAAACATCTTCTGGAAAGTGTCTACAAAGTTTGTTCAAATACAATCCCTTGGATAAAAACTGGCCATGCCTCAGGGGTGTTATTGTTTTTAACTATATGTGTATAGTAAAAACTTAAAAAATCTTCTTATAAAAAACCCAATGAGCTAGAGCTTAGATGTTTAGCATGAAACATCTTCTTATGGGTGTCTACCAAGTTTGTTCAAATAAAAGCCCTTGGGTAAAAATTGGCCCTGCCGGGGGGGGGGGGGTGCAAAAGGTGGGGGAGGGCAGAGGTCATTGTTTTCATTATATGTTTGTAGTGTAGTAAAACTTAACATCAAGAAACATCTTCTAATGGGTGTCTTCCAAGTTTGTTCAAATAAAAGCCCTGGGGTTTAAACTGGCCCTGCTCCAGGGGCCTATATATAGGTGAGCGACCTCGGGGCCATCATGGCCCTCTTGTTTGTATTTCTATATCAAAATCCAATAAACTTTGAATAGAATGTTCCATTTTCAAAGCTGGGCTTATCTATTACACTAACATGTTTGATGATAATAGATGGAGGTGTTTGATGATGACACCATAATTTGAAATATATTTTAATGGTACAGTACTACTACATACTAGTACTCATCACATTTTCTTCTAAAAAAGACCATTTACCTGAAAGATATTTCATGGTATTACATACTCAACATATTTTTCTTCCAAAAGCAACAAATTGCCTGGCTTGTAATTACAGTTACGTTTTATTTTATGTCTTAAGAAACATTTTTAGACACAAGTATTGGTTACAATAATGACATGTTTATAACCAGTACAGAGCCTGGTCTTGTAGTATATACATGCAAATAGATGAGGCTCTGCACGGAATCTACTAAGTATATGTTAGTGTTCATTTGTGTCGTTCTACAGAAATAGAAACTTTGATTGCTATAGTGACAGGAGAATGTTTCTAATTTCTTTAGAACAGCTACGGCTGAATGCTTAAATACTTAGTGTCAAACTTTATTTGGTTTCATTAATATTCACAAAGTCACTACATGTCAATTTTTACGAACACGGTTCTATGACACACTATGAAAAATAGAAGGCTACTATGAACAGATTTAAGTATCAACTTTTGTTCTTCTATGAAAATTAACACACAGAATTTTTAAGAAATGCAGGGTTTTCATTGGATGACAAAGCTGGACACTAATGGGATATTCAGTGCCTAGTCAAAACATTTACACAGTCAGCAGAGTAAGGCGATAAACTGGTTATTGATGTTACCTGTTTCAAGATTTGTTTATAAAATGGTTGTAGTTCAGAATTAGTTGTTGTTCAGTGAATCAGTAGAACTATTTTCATGATAGGTTGGTTACATGAGGATAAATGGATGTTAAAGTATTGTTGTGTTTGATGTGTTGAATAATGATTGTATAACTTGCATTGTATTTTAATAAATCTGTTATATGTTTGGCATTTACAAAGATTTGCTTTTATTTGCATAGACTTATAGCTTTATGAAAATTATGCTTAACAGGTAGAAAAATTCAGTTAATAAAATGTATAAGTTTAATACTTAGTTAAAAGATTGTTTTCATCATTTGTATGTACAATGTATATATAATGTGAAATAAAGAACTCGACAAAATCAATTTCATACTTTTATGATGTTTTAGGAATTGTATTAAAAATAATACACTTTCAGTAGTTCCGCATTTTCCTTATAGCGCTACAGGCAAGGAGATGACATTTTTTTAGCTCACCTGTCACAAAGTGACAGGGTGAGCTTTTGTGATCGCTTTTCGTCCGTCCGTCCGTCGTCCGTGCGTAAACTTTTGCCTTTAATGACATCTCCTCATAAACCACTGAGCCAATTTCATCCAAACTTCACAGGAATGTTCCTTTGGTGGTCACCTTTAAAAATTGTTCAAAGAATTTAATTCCATGCAGAACTCTGGTTGCCATGGCAACCGAAAGAAAAATCTTTAAATATCTTCTTTTAAACAACCCTAAGAGCTAGAGCTTAGATATTTGGCATGAAACATCTTCTAATGAGTGTCTACCAAGTTTGTTCAAATAAAAGCCCTGGGGTCAAAATTGGCCCCGCCCCGGGGGGTCATTGATTTTCCCTATATGCATATGTAAAAACTTAAAAAATCTTCTTTTAAAGAACTGTAAGAGCTAGAGCTAAGATATTTGGCATGGAACATCTTCTAGTGAGTGTCTACCAAGTTTGTTCAAATAAAAGCCCTGGGATCAAAATTGGCCCCGCCCCGGGGGGTCATTGATTTTCCCTATATGCATATAGTAAAAACTTAAAAAATCTTCTTTTAAAGAACTGTAAGAGCTAGAGCTTAGATATTTGGCATGAAACATCTTCTAGTGAATGTCTACCAAGTTTGTTCAAATAAAAGCCCTGGGGTCAAAATTGGCCCCGCCCTGGGGGTAATTGATTTTCCCTATATGCATATAGTAAAAACTTAAAAAATCTTCTTTTAAAGAACCCAGAAGAGCTAGAGCTTAGATATTTGGCATAAAACATCTTCTAGTAAATGTCTACCAAGTTTGTTCAAATAAAAGCCCTGGGGTCAAAATTGGCCCCGCCCCAGGGGGTCATTGATTTTTCCTATATGCATATAGTAAAAACTTAAAAAATCTTCTTTTAAAGAACTGTAAGAGCTAGAGCTTAGATATTTGGCATGAAACATCTTCTAGTGAATGTCTACCAAGTTTGTTCAAATAAAAGCCCTGGGGTTCCAAATTGGCCCCGCCCCAGGGGGTCATTGATTTTCCCTATATGCATAAAGTAAAAGCTTAAAAAATCTTCTTTTAAAGAACCCAAAGAGCTAGAGCTAAGATATTTGGCATGAAACATCTTCTAGTGAATGTCTACCAAGTTTGTTCAAATAAAAGCCCTGGGTCAAAATTGGCCCCGCCCGGGGGGTCATTGATTTTCCCTATATGCATATAGTAAAAACTTAAAAAATCTTCTTTTAAAGAACCGTAAGAGCTAGAGCTTAGATATTTGGCATAAAACCTCTTCTAGTGAGCGTGTACCAAGTTTGTTAAATGAACGCCCTGGGGTCAAAATTGGCCACGTCCAGGGGATCATTGATTTTCATTACATGTATATAGGAAAATTTAAAAAAAAATCTTCTTTTAAAAAAAAGAGCTAGAGCTTAGATATTTAGCTAGTGAGTCTCTCTACCAAGTATGTTCAAATAAAAAAA